ATTTCTAGTTGGTGTTGGCCCTTTTCATGTGGACGCCCACATATATGAAAATGTACTCACATAAGTGAACGAAAAAAAGAGAAATTAATTAATTAAACATCTTTATCGTCATTTCGATGTAGAATTCCCCTGTCCTCATTCATCCCTCACCGATTCGTCTAATTATATCAAACGGATTTGAACTCAGAACCTTCTACATACTAATCCTACACGTTAACCATTAGGCTAATGCGCATTTTTTTTAAACATTACTTTTTAGTGCCTATATGGATGCAAATAATAAATAAATATGTAATAAATATGTAAGATGATATTTTTTTGCCTCCGATTTCGATCAGTAGAGCCTATCACTTGAATTATACATTCATTTTAAACAATAATGAAAGAAAAATCCAATATGATGGAGTCTAATTTTTCTAATTCGTTGGATATCTTACAAGACTCATTATCCTGAGTTCACGATAGTATTGAATAGTGGATATTCCGTTGAAGTTGATTAATTAATCGATGCATTAGGGAAAACGAGGGAAAACTTAGAGCGAGGTAAAATGAACAACAAGATGAAATTGATATGATTTTAAAGTGAATGCCAGTTATCTTAGTTTGAGATACATTTGATTGAGTGAAATAGAATACGTGTAGAATTCAAGTCAAGTTCATTTTTCGCGATAATGAGAATATTTGATTTCATTCTTACGTGAAATTTTGCGGTCTTCAGACATTCTTTTATTTAACAAAAAATGTAAATTCCGCATGACGAAATAAGTTATCATATCGATCAATACAATCATAAGGTATTTCAAGCAATTGGTGTTTCCAGTAAATTGTAATTAACCAGACCATGTCATAAGGAAAAAAAAAATGAATTGTGAGACTGTAGTAAGCTGTCAAATTCAAAGAAGTTGGTATTTTTCCGCAAGACAAAATCGCATGAATTGACAATAACAAAATCACTGATTACGGTAATTGCACGTACATTTGAATATCAAAAAGCCCTAACAAAAAGCATTCATCTTTCGATACTTGTCTCATGACCTGTATATCCGTCAAACAAACGAGAACACAGATAATATCACCTAATTTATCTCATGATATGCTTTTGATCGCATATTTGAGAAATGAATAGATCCATACATTTATTAGGTAATAAATTGATGAATTAATTGATCGATGCAGAAATTAGTAGTTTAAGAAATTTGTGAAAAAAGTCTCACTCACTAACATTTCTTGTAGACAATTTTCAGACACTTATGCGTATCTGAATCCATAAATATCTGAATATGGTGATACTAAGAATTAAGTGATCATAATATATTATGACGACTTCATAATATTAAGGTTTTTTGGGGTTCAAAACAGCTGCCCCCTCCCCTTCCGTCGCGAACCCTCGGTAATGCTAAAAACTGGTGAGACTGAATATTAATGCCATACGCTTTTGAATTTAATTTCGAATACCTTAATTATATAATTTTAAAAAAAATTATCACACCAATGCTAGGTTGCTATTAATGAACTCAACCCCCTTTGAGACATCTTAGATGTTATTATGGATGTTCACATTAGTGTATGGATGTCCCCACGGCACTTTCCCTTCTGAAAGTATGATCTTTTTTTTTATTATATAATTACGATATTTAAAATTGAATTCCAAAGCGCACGGCAAGGCACTAATATCAAGCCTCACCAGCACATTGGCCAGGATTCGCGACGGGCATTCAGCTGCTACGAACCACAAAAGTCCCAATAGTATTCTCGGACTCAGTCACGTATAAGTGACAGAAAATTGTCTTCAAGAAAAGTCTGAAAATCAGATATCTGTTTTTGCAGTGTATCTCAAAATTCTGGATACGTTCCATAGCTTGAATGCCTGAAAAGGTTAAAACGCTTACATTTGATACACATCTAATTCCAGAATATTGAATCGCAAGAGAATTTAACGAGGACATATATATTGTGACGCCTTTCCCCAAACGCACACGCGGGATTCGTGTACGTGAGTAATCACGAACTTTGGGCTGCAACTTAGACTCTCTCGATCCGGAACGAAACGACGGGGAAATACGAGAGGAACCAATGTGCCAAGAGCGCCAGTCCTTTTTACCACCAAAGGTCACAGGGGATTCAACAATTTGAGTATTTTTCCAATGGTTCTAATTCCAAAATCCTTAGTCCCAGAAGCTGGGACTTGCGCCTCGCGGTCGGTGGATATGATCCGCGTTGAGCGGCGCAGGAGTCAACATAATCCGATGCTCCCTCAATGTTGTAGCATCGGTTTTTTTACTGAACGGCCTTGTGCTGCCGTTCCATCGGTGAGATGGTGGGGGTTCGCACGTAGAGGCCTGAGATGCCTGCTGGCGTGCGACGATCGTCTTTCGCGTTCTACGTGGTGTGAGTCTCCCCGCCTCGGTGTGTGCGTGCTCATCGGTGTGCTGCTCCTCAGCTATCGCGCCGTCTTGTAGCTCTCCCCGAGGCTCCGCTCCACTCCCTTCGCCACGAAGCTCACGTAACCCACGGTGAGCGCGATCGACAGAGTTCGAGGGAATGGAAAGAAGGGAAATAGTCAAATAATAAAAATAGGCCACTTAAAAAAAAAA